TAGCTTGCGAATGCCTGTAACCCCTCAAAGGGTATTATTTTAACTCCAGTTATGGAGTTAAAAGAGCTCAAATTTTTAACTCCCGTATTACCCCTCTAGAATTCCTTCAAAGTGGTGTTAAAATAACACCCCGAAAATAACAGTGTAGGTTATTGGTAAATATCACGATTTTCGTGGTTACTCACTCGAATGAATACAATTTGATGGGTAATGAAGATGGAAATTGTCGAGTGGAAATTTAAATACATTTATTAAACGTAACGAGGAACAGAAGCGAAAATGCAACTTTAGGTCCATGGCAGGAATTGAAACTGCGCCCCTGCATGGGATTCTTGTGCAGGGCTCTACCAAACTGAGCTACAGAGGCCAAATTGGCCTTTCGAAACCATAGTGTTATGCTGTCTATCTGTGAAGTTATCCAGCACCGGAAACAATCAACGATCGAGTGAAACGATCAACTTTCAACTGCGTTAATGGGATAAACGTAATATGATCGTGCGTGTCTCATATATACGACGCGTTCTGAGAAATACCTAATGCGTTATAATTGGAGTTGTTTGGGCAAGTACAGATGTTTGTAATCTACATAGCATATAATATGATACTACTTAGCCGGCTATTTTTAAATTACTATCAGCAAGTTTCTTGTATTTTGCCAAAACCATGAATCTCCACTATACTTTTTTCAACTTCCGCCCACAATCACTGTATTAGAACCTTACGCTACTGAAATACGATGTGTATTTATAATAGCTAGACTTTGTTAATTTATACGTGAGTAACCATGCAGAGTTTCGAGAGCAATTCCCATAAAACCTGCAACACGTCTATAAACGGTGCATGCCTAGATAGATAGATAGATAGATAGATAGATAGATAGATAGATAGATAGATAGATAGATAGATAGATAGATAGATAGATAGATAGATAGATAGATAGATAGATAGATAGATAGATAGATAGATAGATAGATAGATAGATAGATAAATAGATAGATAGATAGATAGATAGATAGATAGATAGATAGATAGATAGATAGATAGATAGATAAATAGATAGATAGATAGATAGATAGATAGATAGATAGTTAGATAGATAGATAGATAGATAGATAGATAGATAGATAGATAGATAGATAGATAGATAGATAGATAGATAGATATTGTTAATAAAACCTTTCTGCAGCTAGTAAGCTGAATTGTTAAGGTATTAGATTATTTACAAAGGTAATTTAATAAAATCTACTATTTAAAATTTGTTCATAATTATAGAGTTATTAAAAATATTCTTGTTGTAGTGAAGAGAGCTAGAGATAAAAATCGATTTTTTAAATCGATTAGTTTTACATATTGGAATAGTAAAAGGTCTTACGTTTCTGAGATAGTTTCTTTGATTTTCGTCAGGGTTATGTGGAACAAAGTCGTGGAGTCGGTCTGCAGGATTCGCGATTACTTTACTAAAAAACTTATCACATAGATGTTGTCTGCAGTCAGAAAGTTTATTAATTCGTGCTTGCTCGAGGGCCGAATTGTATGAAGTATCATACCCGTAAATGATCTTCATCGCCCGTTTTTGGATTTGTTCTAAGGACTTAGTTAGATACTCAGGAAGGTTATAGTGATAAACTTGATCGACAAGCATAAGGGAGAACAGAACGTATACAAGCAACATAAAACTTGATCAGGTCTTCAGGAGATACGTTGGCCCGTTTTAGTTGGGAGATAAAATACAATCTTTTAGATGTTTTCTTGATTAATGAATCAATGTGTATATTCCATCTTAAATCTTTACTGAGTGTTACTCCAAGGAGTTTAAGTGAGTTAACTGTTTCAATAATATTTTAATCAATCGTTGTATTCGCGAATTGATCTCGAAAATGATATTCGCATCTCTTTGCACTTTTACGGGTGTAGTTGAAATTTGTTAACAGATGACCAAGTGGCAACTTCGTAGACAGTCGTTGGCCAGCTTAACTCTCTGTGATCTGTTGGGTTTTAGGTAATACTCGTTCCAGTTCGTTGAAATTAAATCTTAGGTATTGTCTCCTCGAGTGGCAAAATCGACCAGCTGTTTGAAGCGGAAATGATTGATTACTTGACCTACATCTAACCGGTTAAAGTCTCCCGTCAGTAAGACACCACAGTTTGGATGGGAGCTCTCAATATTGGATAAGGTATCCAACAGATACTCTTCCATTTGGTTGTCATTTGAGGATGGTGGATGGTATAATACTCCTACTATTAGTCCTGAGAAACCTCTGGGAAGGCGGCGTGGTCGCACTTTGCACCAAAAGGCCGAGCTACTAATAATTTAAAAGCATACTAATAATATACAGTTGATTAGTTTCCATGCCCTAATTTTGTCGACGTTCAGGATTTTTCGCCTATTCTATATGAAAATCGAGGTTTTGGGATCGGTTGAGTATAATAGTGGAACCTAAGGAATATCTTTTCTAAAGGAGGAGACACAAAACATTGTCAATAAACCATTAAGTTAGCGTCACTTAAATTACATTTTTTTATAAATAACCAGTTCACATTATTTTAATGACACTTAACAAAGTACCGTTATTAATTTTTAACGCATAAAGAGGATTACGAATTACAATTTGCATCTCGTTGAATAAATATTTAGTCATTAACATGTGCACTTTTAGGTCAAAACTAAAATATAGCCTGGACAAAGCGTTCCAATAGAATAACTATTCCATAAGTCAGATAGACATCCTTGCTTTTAATGAACAATACAATTAAACAGATTTTTCATGAAACATGTTGATCGGTCATTGCTATAAGAAAAATAATACTATACAGCGTGCAATTTAAAATTGTTTAGTCTATGAAGTCATGCATTGCTGTAGCAATTAAGTATTTCAAAGTTGTCATAAATGTTCTGCCGCCAATGCTACTATTACGACATGATTCAAATTCGCACTCTTGAAGAAACAATGTTGTGAACAATTACACAACATAATAACACACGCAGAATTAGGATTTTCCTATGCTGAATTAATATAAACGAGTACGTTTATGACCTAATTCAGTATATATAGTTCACAATTTCCAGTCTTCGATCCGTTCTGATCGTGTAGCCCAGTTGGTAGAGCATCGATCTGGTAATTCAAAGGTAGCGAGTTCGAAACCCAGCTGCGGCAGTAAGTTAGAGTTTTCTGCGTGCGCGATCTGGAAATTGTCAAATATCTTATTATTGACTTATTACTCTCTCAGATTAAAAAACGAAAGATTCAGAATCGTGAAAAGGTTTCCAGTGTTTGGCAGTCCTTAATTTAACGACCGAAAGTGAAAGGAAAAAATGGAAAGGCAAAAATCAATTAGTATTCTTGAGAGAAATTTGAAACCGTTTCAAATTTTGCAATGATTGCAAAATTTTTCGGCGTGCATGAGATAATTTGCCGTGTTTTGAGCTAAGAGAGCAGACACAAGAAAAATTCTACCATAATATAAAACATATGCCAATGTTCTTTATTGATTTGCAAAAGATAGTATTACAATAGAAAACAAAATTCGCAGTGTGATTACAATAGGTTTTGCTGAACATGAAATATTTTTGGAATATACTTACTTATTTTTTATCAGTGAAAGTGAAGCAATCTGATTGGCTGAGGAGCCTTTCAGAGAGGCCGCTGGGTTTTTGCATCCGGCCCGCTCTGAAACGCAACTGTCCGCTGTGAAATTCAACTGCCCGCTCTGGTTTTCGCGGCAAAAACCGAGGAGTGTATCATGCAATTTTTGAACTAAAAATTCTGCCCAAAAAGTTTGGATAACGTACAGTAGCTAAACGATCGTCAAAATACGAAAATAGATTGCATCAAGCTCTAAATACTTCATACTATGCATGATGTACACCAGAATTGATAATATTTTGAGAGAAATGCCACTGAAAGTCAGAAAGTTATTTGACATGTATAAAACGTACGCCAAGAAAGCTATATTTTTGTTTTAAATGCTCATGTTTTCGGCCTCGTTGCCGGAAGCAACTGAATTTGTCAAAGCCGAAACGCGAGGCCTAAACTTTTTATACCAACGCTTTCTCCTACAATATTCATGCTACTGAAACTATATATGTCATTTTGTATGTTTCGGCTATGAACTACAAAAACTTATTGTAAGGCCCCGTTTGCACTATACCTGCATGATTGCATCGGAGAGTAGCGATTTTCATACCGGATTCGGCTGCTGTTTACACTACGCCATGCACAGTAATCCGGTACGCGACGCGGAGCGAAAATCACTCCGCTTTGGAGGTGATATGAAAAGTAATCCGGTATGTGCCGGAGCAGTGCGGAGCGGTTTTGGAGTGTATGTTTTAACATTGTCGCCTTTATTTTCTCGCTTTTACAACACTTTATAGCTGTTGTTTGTTTCGCCTAGCAACCATTTACTATTTCCATAGAATAAAGATCCATATAGAAGGGCCACTTAGGTCGGAAGCTTTGAAGTTTCTGTCCTCGCGCATGTCGCATTACGCATGTTGGCCGCCATTTTCCTAGCCAGTCAATGACATTTCCTGGCCAATAAACAAGCTGTACTGGCTGGCTGCTCCGCCTTCTGGCCAGTAAACTGCATATTTTTGCATAAAAAAACGAGGACATGTTGCACCGCTGAGTGGCCCTTCTGTTACTGATCTTTATTCTGTGCTATTTCTGCCGAATACAAGTAAAGAAAACAATAATAACATTGACTTTTCGCTTTCGAAAGAGCAAAATTTAAAGAAATACTCTGAAATTTTGGATTAGAGCGAAACGAAGCAACGTCTGGCGGTCAAGCTTTTTAAACAAAGTTATACTTTACAAAGAAAATGGGTGTTACTTCTTGTTTTTAATAAATTTTGGTATATTGGCTACTTGTTTCCATGGCGACAGTGAAAGACATGAGCTGGCAACAGAACGAAGCGGCATAGTGTAAACACCCTTGATTTTTTACTTTGGAGTAAAAATTAATCCGGTATGAAAAGTAATCCGGTATAGTGTAAATGGGGCCTAAATCTTCTGTTTTTTCAATTCGACAAATTCAAGAGACTCGCAGTAGTATTTAAAACAAATGTATAAAAAGCTAAACAACTTACGGGCATGTATGATGGGGAACGTCTCAGATTGTCCTATCGGAATCATAGTATTAAGCTGTCCAGCTGCGAAGTCATCCAGCACCTGAAACACGAAAAATATTGCCACAGAAATCTTCATGATTCGAAAGAAATTCATATTGAAGCGACGAACTTTAAATTTCAACTGCGTTTGTTTCGCATGGGATAAATGTAATATGGTAATGGGGG